GAAGTGTTTTGTTCAAATGATTTACAAAATAGCTGAAATTTTGATCGTCATTCTTCGATTTCGCTTATTATCGTCAAAGGAAGATACTTAATATTATAACTTGCCTAAAAGACAATTTTGGTTCCTTAAACCTGGATGAAGCTTCTTGTAAGATTTCGAAGATATAGGAGCGCTTTTAGAAGCTTGATATATGCGAATGATATAACGACACGACTTGGAGCAACTTTGCTATAACACCCAATAGATGTTCTTGAAATTTGTTGGAATTTAACGCTCTATTATAATTTTTATTGCTATTATTTGATTGGATTTTGGAAATTCACCGAGCCTTAATATTCTTGTACTGTTATTATAGCACCACAAATATATTCACAACGACTATCCCACGACTTTCGAGCAAAGCAAGAAAGTGATGGGATAGTCGTTGTTGGTCTTAAAAGTTAACTGTTAATTATAAGAGATTGATTTTTGGAATCATCGAGTGAAAACGAATTATTATAACGAATAATAATACTGTCGAGCGTTAAATTAAACTTGGAAAGTTGCTACGAGTTGAAAAAACAAAGTCGAGAAAAGAAAGATATAAGAAAAAATTCAATCAAGAACAGTCTCAAGGAAAAACTATCTTCGATCAAAAAAAAAAAAAAAATTGAGAAAATAAATAGAAAAAAAAAGAAACTTCTAGAAATTAATTTTAAAAAATTATTATATATAAATATATACACACACTTTTATTACAAAGCTTATTCGAAGATCAAGTTTTTTTCTTTTTTTTCTTTTTTTTTTTTTTTTTTTTTTTTTTTTTTTTGTTACTACGTATCAGTATTTATGACAATTCGAACTGGATAAAACGCCTAAACTTTTAAACTATACTGCATATACTCGATATCTTTTTTCTTATATTTTTCTATTCTTTCTTTTTTCTTTCTTCCTCCAATTACCTTCTTATGGCAAATACAAATTATTTTATTCGTTTGCGCTTTGTAAGTAACCGTTGTAACTTAGTAACTCTCAGTTCAAGGAATTATTTAAAAGCTTTTTAAGTAACAATATATTATTTTTTTTTTTTATATCGCCACAAGCTAAATATGTTCGATAATTTTAATATATTCGAATAGAGCAGGCTAAAACATTTACTGGCCCATTTTTTCTATTTTTCATAATATCGTGCAATTGGAGTTTTTTTAATACAGTGAGCGAAATATTTGTTCCACTATTTCGCGGATTAATGGTCGATTAACTTAGGCTGAGACAATCTAAAGTGATAACCTTTTTTTTTTTTTTTATTGTTGTTTATAGATTTTTATCATAGGTGTCGTCCAGTAAGTACGGAACGTGTTAGATATATAGATATATATATATATATATATATATATATATATATATATATATATGTATATGTATATATACGCGTGTCTAGGAGGATAAGAAACCGAAAAAAAAAAAAAAAATAAATAAATCTTGTGTTTCGAAATTTCGATTTGTATTAATATTATTTTCAAGACCTAGAAATTTAATCAGGAATGTAAGGAAAGGATGTAAAGAAGTTAGAAAGAAAAAAGCGCATTCGTAAAAGGAATACAAAGAGAAATGAATGAAGAGGGTGTGTGTCTAAATGCTTATCAAGAAAAGAAAAAGGAAAAATAACGGGAACCAAATGAAAAAAAAAAATTAATTAAAAAAATATAATAATAGAAAATATCTTATGACAGAAAAGTAATAATTTCAATGCAACGTTCTAACGCAAGATTATTATAACGAAGCGATTTAATCATTGAATTAAAAGCAATTATAACTAAATAAATGAAATAATAATAATAATAATAATAATAAAAATACAATTTTCAGGAAATATAATTAACGAAATGAATGAAAGAACTGGAACACCAGAAGGCCCGAAAACCGATTTCTGTTTCTGCCATTACTACTACTACTACTATTACTACTACTGCTGCTGCTGCTGCTGTTTATCCTTAGCATGTTCTTTGCCGGCTGCATAATTAATTTTCTATCTTGTTTGCGATACAAGAATTTTAAAGAATTTTAAAAATTGATCTCTCTTCACCGTAAATCCCTCTTCTTTTCAAATGGTTCACAGCTTTGCGTAGTGGTGTAAAGATTCAGAACGTTTTTCGGGATTATTATAATGTTAGTTATTGGTTCTTTGTTTTGTAAATGAGAACCCCCCTCCTCAAAGAAGAGGGGGCTTTAAAGGATATTTTGGTAGGATGCAGTCAGGTCTCGAAAATTACTTTTCTTCAAAATGACTCGAGTAGCGAAAAATTGTTAAAATTTTGTAACAAAAGAAATGTTTTACACACACCGAACGTACATGCGATTATTTTCCGATAGACACACGCTTTTTTACCGGAAATTCCTTCATAAAAATCACAGTTTAACAGGCTTTCGCCATTTTCTTTTTTTTCTTTTTTTTTTTCTTTTTTTTTTTTTTTTTTTTTTTTTTCCTTTTTAATTCACGAAAGGATTTCTGTTCCGTTTAACAAACGATGCCAAATATCTTGTAATATTCAAAGGACGACTTTTCTTCTCATTTAAATCCGAAAAATGGATCGTGTCACATAAGTATCATCAGTCTTCTTTTTTTTTTTTTTTCTCTCTTTGTTTACAGAAAGAACCGAGAAAGTGTGAGGTGTGTGTCAGAGCACCCCCCTTAAATGGGGGCGCCGCTCTCGGACTAAAAAATTCGGCTTTTCTTTAAAACTTTCTCTCTTTTCGTTATATATAATAATCTCTATATAAAAATAAATGCTTCTCGAATCATCAACGATAGAAAACGATTCAATACGAAATATTCTATATGTACAAAAATGCAAGTACGCAATCTCTCTCTCTTTCTCTCCCTCTCTTCCTCTCTGTATACAATATGCAGCAGCACTGGAAAATTTAAAATTTGGTCTTTTGCTACTTTGCTCAAAAGAAAGAAAGCGAAGATTTCATGTATCACTATACAGATCTTTTTCTATTTTTAACTTTCAAAGCTCACCGGATTTTGGGATCATATAAGAATCACCCAAAAAAGTACGGTTGGTTTTTTCTTATTTATATCTTCCTTCTTTTTTTCTCCTTTTCACAACCTTTTTTAAATTGAAATTGCTAATCACAAGATAATTTGTTTCTAAAATAAAAAAAGTTTCAACACGGCAATTCTGTTTGTTTTTGCTCAATAGTAAAAAATCATTCCACCTACTTGCACGTTTTGCTTGTCTTTTCTGCGAAATAGAAAAAAAAAAAGAGAAACGATGTTATAATAGGCTTGTTCGTCAGCTACATCTTTCCGGTTTGCTCGTCACAACGGTTACTTCCATATAGAATCAACACAAGAAAACGCATGTCATATAAAAAAAAAAAAAAAAAGGAGGAAATAAGCGAAACTTTGCAACCGGTAGAAAATAGAAAGACAGATTACTTTTCTACATTTTTTTCTAATATGTATTCATATTTTTTAAACGCCAACGAGCCTCATGACTCGTCTATTTTGCATGGATAACTCGAATTTACCGGAAGAACGGATTTTTTTTTATACTTTTCACTGTTTTACTTTTTTTTTGTCAAATACTTATTAAAGTGATTATACAGAAGATTTTAGAAACGGTTGTGCGTATTGTAGCTAATAGCCGACTGCAAATTTATATCCAATAATTGGACATTTAGAGATCTTTCAGAGAAGGAAATTTGTTACTTCGAAATATAGACACAGACTGCCTAATGTTTTAATTCTAAACGTAGGTTCAATAGTAGGCGAAGACGAACTTCGTTTGTTTAAAGCGGCGTTAATTCAAAAGAATTTAGCCTTTCCCTGAATCGGTGTGAAAAAGCTTGATATTTGAAATTTTCGCAATAAATGATGATTTAATAGAATCAATGGTATATAAGATGCGAGGCCAGAATTGGATGTGGAATGGATGTGTTTTCTCAACAATCGTTCAGATCTCTCTTATTGCCTCTTTGAAATATCATATTCATTACACGTAACATCGTGCTCCAATAAAAGATATCCTCTGCTCGATCTTTAAACTTCGGGTCTGTCTCAACTGTTCTACTCTGATACTCCACAGGTAATACTGGACGTTCAACAATTCTCACCGGAAGAGATTACGGTGAAGACGGTCGGTAATAATGTTATTGTCGAAGCAAAACACGAGGAGAGACAAGACGAGCACGGATTTGTCAGCCGACAATTCATACGGAGATACGTCTTGCCTCCATCTCACGACGTGATCAACATTACCTCGAGTCTATCTTCAGATGGTGTTTTAACTATCACGGCACCCAAAAAGGTAAAAAGATGGAGAGAAGAACTCGGTGGTGAGTCCCGAGCAAAGGACTCACCCGATGCTGCTCGATAAATGTTAGGAAAATTATCCGTTTTTTTTTTTTTCGAGCCTTTTTATGTTCCTTTTTTCTTTTATTTCCCGTTCTATTTTGATTCCGTTTATTTTTCCGTTCTCAATTCCAAAGTTCCATATGTTCTTGTGGTAGAGTATTCGTTTTGACAAGATGGAGCCGACGATTTATTCGACTTCAAACTACGAATCTGCTCTAAACTATAAAAAAACATCACGTTAGATTAAACATTTTCTCATAGATGAAGTACATTCGTGAATGTATCAAAGTATTTATCGACTTTAACTCGACAACTCTTAAAAGAGCAACAAATTCTTAACAAACTTGTCAAAATATATAAATATATATAATCGAAATATAAAAAAAAAAAAAAAAAAAAAGAATATACAAAAGTAAATTAAAGCTAGTTAAAATTGATAAAGTTTGAAAAACCGAATGTTCTTCATCGAAATATTTTAAGATCGGTATTTTACAATTCAAGTACGATTCAGTATTGAACAGACAAAAATAACAGACACTTAATACATCTATTTATTTTGTGCATATTGTTGATAAAAAAAAAATAATGAATAAATTAAAGTATTGATTGATAAAATCAATCGATATATTTATACATATCTTATAAAAGTATTTTGAATTTTATCTAATTTTATATATTTTAAAATGCAATTTTTATTTTAAACATTATATTTATTTATTTTATTCATTATATTTTCCGATTGATATTCCAATTGATTTCATAACCTTACTATCTCTTTTATCAACAATAACAAATTGACTAAAGTGATGCTACGTAAGTATCAATTATAATTTTAAAAAAAAAATTTAAATTTCACCAATCAAATGTTTCAAATTTTTTTTATTATATATACACTTTATGACAATGTTTTAAGCATAATAATGATATTTCAAATTTAATAATTAAGTAGCAACACTGAAAACTCTAAAGTTAATTTTTTGATTTTACATTAATATTAAGATTCTAGATAATATAAAAATATTTTAATTCAGCGACCACTTACCTACTGCATATAACTCGAAGTGCTTTTCTTAAATACTTCAAATGTGTGAAGAAATTTCGAACTCTCTAATCAGATTATGGTTGCGTACGGATTGTTCAAGCACCGACCCCGCAGGGTGCACTATAAAAAATAAACATAAAAAATCTCGATCAAGTTTATAACTTGAATTATAATTTAAAAATCTAATTTATTATACTATCTTATTTTTAGGGAGAAACATCTAGTGGAGACGAACGAATCATTGAAATCGTGAAAACTGGAGAACCAGCGGGTAAATCGATCAAAGTAGAAACGACTACAGAAGAAAAATAATATGTATTATCTCCGAAATTTATTAATCGAATCTTTATTTAATTTAAATATGATGCTTATTATTATTGATATTTCATATTTCCGTAATTTAAATATTTTATATAATATTAAAAATGATAAAAAGTTTAAACAATATTATTATAAATTGTTGTATTGTATCATAATATTATTATAAATAATATAAAAAATTTTGTAATTCAAAAAATATATATTTTTTTTAATTACATAAATATCATTCAATGTTTAACATTATCACACCTTTTGTTTTTATATATTTACAATTCACTAAATTCAATGATAATTGAAATTAGCATAAGTATCACATCAATTTATTTTTATTAATCTAAAACATAAGTAAAAATACAGAAGCGAAAATTTAAAAAAAAAAAAAAACAAAATTATAAAAAATTAAAATTATTTAAAAGTTAAAAATACTCACGGTAAACTGTCGCGCTCCGCACCGAATCCGTCTCGTCTACATTTTCACGTCGTATTGTCAGCAGCCTCGTGGACCACGTAAAAGAAGTAGAGGTATGTTCACTGGTTAGTGGGTCTTCGGGTGTTCACTGCGTCCGAACTGAACGAAAGTTTGTTTACGAATGCGCCGAGGCAAGCCGGCCGGCTCTCTTATATAGGCATACGGCGTCGCAGTGCTGAAAGTTCGAGAACTTGTACCGGCACCCGGCATCTAATGCGCATTATCTTTCAACTTGTAATTTCGATACTTTTTCCATCATGTATATGACAATCATTAATATTATTGTGTTCCTTGTGTTATGAATTATTATTTAATGATACGATCATTACGATTTACTATATTTTTTCGAAAATAATAAGCAAAAACCAAGTATTGATCGACAAAGCAACGAGATTTCTGGCACATTCTCCCACCTAGCCCCACTATAACCTAACTCACACAATCATATGCTTTCTCTTATGATATACATAGTATAGTTGTGTTGGTTGAACTATGTTTACGAAAACAAGGAACGACTAACCTCATGTTATTTGACTGTTTGTTTTCATCGTTACGTCAGGAGAAAAGGCTATATTTTAGAAATATATAATTCTCAAAATTAAGGAATATGTAAAATCGCCTTTAATTAATAATATAAATTTTTATGTTATTTCTAGAATATATGTTTATACCATATTCTCGTTAATTATTATTTTGATAGTATAAATATGAAATTTTAAGGAACATTTCTTGACTTCTTTTGCTGATTTATCTGATCTCTGAATAAAAATATTATATTTTTTATTGAATTTAATAACTAGATTGTATTTTCACAGATATGAGCAATTATTAACATGCTAAAAAACAATAGGTATGTTTTTTTAAGTTATTAATTAAAATTAATTAAATATTAAATTGCGACGCAATTTCATAAAAAAATATTTCATTATACATGTTTTTGAAACTGCGCAATTATTCTGAACATATGTTTGCTAGGAACTAATTCTGTCGATACTAAAACAAAGCATAAAGATAAAATAAAGTTTTTTTGTTTTAAAATAATAATTTGAAGAAATGATTACAAAAATTAATATATGTGATAGTAAATAATATCGTGTTTGTAAACACATGTGTAATATGTCATAGATCAATATTTCGAGTTATTACAATTGATGACGATAAAAAAAGTAATGTAATCATAGGCGAATTATACAATAATTTTATCGTATTTATTTAATCATATATTAACGATCTTCCAAATTTAATGTTTCTCATCTTTATGCAAACAACACGTATTATTGCGCAATACAGGTTTTGCGCGACAGCTGTAGCTCTATCGATTTTCCAAGCGCGTCTTCCTACCTAGATGCATTATATCTCATATGAAAGACGCGTAATTGATACAAGTTTATTCATGAGAATTGCGACTAAGAATTCTTTATGGTAAAAAACCTTTATATGTTTTTCAAAATATATAATACATTTGTAATATAATGAATATTAATCTTATTTTATAGATATAATTTAGAGAGAGAAACTACTGATCAGTTTCGATATAGAAATGAGAGTACATATATAAATATAACGATGAGCAGATGTTCGCAATAGATTTACATACAATTCAAAAATGATAAAAATAGAAATAGAATGTCAATTGATGCATTCAGCTGGACAGACTATGTATCTATTAATGTTTTTAATATAATCCCTTAGATTCACTAGTGCGTAATATTCTGAAACGATATAATTTCATAGCAACATAACATGTATCAAATGGTACTTACTGCGTATTCTAACTTAATGATGTCATTTATGCAAATAATAGGTTATAATATATATTTAGAAATTAACGATATCTTTATATATATCAATGCATTATGATGTTTATAACGTTTTTATCTTATAAATCAGGGTTTATTTTTCTAAATTATTACTTATTGATTAAGTATAATATAAAAATTTCTACATTCTAATTCTATAGAACAACTTAATAAAATGCACTCAATCATATTTTTTGAAAAAATCAACAACTAAAACTCTTGTTGAATATAGTATATTTCAAACTTCGAAATAAGTATTAATAATAACAGATTAAACTATATTTTCGAATTCATTTTTTTCATTTTTTAAATTAATTATATGATTATTATTCTTTTTAAAATTCAATTAATTGAAATGTCGAAAGCAAATATAAAAAATAATTTTTCTTGATAAAATCATTACAATAGTAACAAAGACATATGAAAAAGAAAGAATGAAAAAAAAGAGAATGATGATTTTCAAAAAATTTGTTGATTGAATGTTTAATTTACAAAAATATATAATAATACATTTAATATATAATATATAAATAATTTATAAATAATACATAATTTATAAATAATTTACCGTTGAATTAAAAAACCGATGATTTTGATTAAATGCAAATAAAAAGAAAGAGTAACTTGGCATTTAAATTCGAAAATCCATACAAAATAGAATTACTATGAAATTAAAGCGAAAGCAAGCATATTTAAATAAATAGACTGGACATACTAATTTATTTTTTTATTACTTATGATAATGATCTTGGCGATATTACTTATTTATAAATTTATATATTTATATATTTAAAGCTATTTTTATTTTATTGTTATCATATGCATTTGTTGTTAGGCATTGAATTAATTTATTCAATATTATGTATTAAATCATCACATATGTAAACATAATCACATATACATATACACAGCAAATATATACACACATACGTAATCATATGGATATACACATACATATTGATACATACACCTAAATTTTTCTAAAGTAATAAAAAAAGAACATTGTAAGTAAAATAATAAAAGTGAACATTTAAAAGCTTAAATTCACATTCATATTGCATACAAAAATAATATTATTGTTATTAAAACTAATTTTTAAATCGTTTATATGTATATAATTGTATTTTTTTTTATTAATTGATTAAAAACATAATTGATTAAAAAAAAAATCATATAATTAATAATTTTTTTACAATATTATATATTAATTTTATTTATACATAAAATATTTATATTACAATGGTTTACAAAGTCTCCAAAGTGTAACTGGATGTCTATTTGATAATAATTCTAATTCTCTTATTCCTAATGGACTTATGTTTCTGATCCATTTTCGATCTTTATAATATTCCAAAATAGTACTAAATTCTTCTTTTGAATAATTTTCGACGTGAATAGGAAGAAAGGGATCTAAATGTTCAAATCCTTTTTTACCAAGTAAATATTTTGGATAATCAGAATCTTTTCTATCCTATGAATAAAAATATAAAAGAATTATCATAGTTTTATATAATAGTGTTATAAATTATATTATACCAATTGTTATATACTTTATTTGCTCTTTTATCTACTGTTAATATTGCAGCACCATTACACCAATCGTAATTTACAATATCGTAGAATGCAGATGTTATTGATATCTTCTCAGGTGGCACATATTTATGATTTTCATCACATACATGTGTAATTGTAGAAGTAAATGCATTAAAACCATCTATAATAACTAATGTTTTACATTTTCCTGCCGTACTAGCTAATTTCAGTTCATCCAATAAAGCATTAACAACACCACAAGCAAATTTAGTTCTCTCTATTCCAAATTTAATAAGATTAGAAAGTGTTTCTCCACATTTTGTAACTTCTCTTTGAGACCATGTATATTCTTTAGTAGTTTTTAGCTATTTAAATTAGTTAAATTAATTTTTTTAATTATATATATTTTATTATATATTATTATATATAATAATAAAATAAATTTTAATTGTTACTTACATTATATTGTGATAATGATGTTTCATTTAAATATTTTAAATATTTTAACCATGCTGCTGTTAGTTGAGGTAAATCTAATTTATCTGGTATCAAAGGAGATTCAGAAACTTCTCTTGCATATCGAAACCAATTACGAACTAAAAAATATAAATAACAATACTATTAACAATTATATCTTTTCTTCATAAATAATTTATTTTTGAATATAATTGATATCATACCCCATGGCAAATAAATTACAATAAAATGTTTTACAAGACCATAATGAATTAAATGTAACAATGTTGTTGTTTTTCCTACTCCTTCTTTACCATCTAATAATAGTGAAAGAACAATATATAGATAAATTATACATTTTATTTTAGTTAATTAAATAAATATCTAAATGAAAATTAAGATCATAAATTTGAAAGGATACATAAAACATATTTATTTATAGATTTTGTATAATCTGTTTGTTCTAAGTATGATATAAGTTCAATTGCAGGTTTTCTAACTAAAATGCCAAGTTCTCTAAAAATTGTTGTTTGCTTCTTTAATTCAATTGTCATATCTTTCATCAATAATGATGAAATATCTGAAGGTATTGTATAAATCTTATTTAAACAACTTTCATCATGTTCTACAGGATTTAATTCTGTGCGAAATGATGAAAGATTTATATCTTGTACATCTTTTGTTGCCGCTGTTATTATTGTTCGTCGAGCATTTTTAATACACATTTTACCAAATAAAGAACCTAAAATTTTAGTAAAAAACATACTACATAATTAAAATATTGATAAATATATATATATATTTATAATATAATATAATATGCATTGATTAATACGTATAATTAATATTAATATATATATATTTATAATATATAAAAAAAAGACATTGATATAATTTTTATCAATCAAATCAAATTATTATTATATATAAGTAGACAAACATACAAGTATATGACAGCATGTTGTTTAAAATATTTTAATTAGTAATAATACTTTTCTCTATAAATAATTATAAATTTTTAAGTATTTATTTACCGCTAATACAATTGTAAATAACCATATTTATTGGACTGTTCGAATATCTTCCAACAAGTTATTTGATAAGTTCAAAATGTTCCTATGAAAATTAATAATACATAATAATTTTATGTTTTACATAATTTTTATACATATTTATTATTCTTATTTAGTTATATTATAAATAATTTATTTGCGAAAAAAAATTTTTATTTTTTCTTTCAACAAAAAATATTACTAAATGTTTAATTTTAGGAACATACCTGAAGTAATCAGATTGTCGATCACTCTACAAGAATATATACAATCGTATAACAATAATTCTAGCAAGTTGTCTAAAGTAAATATATATACATATCAATAAATCAAAAATGAATTTAGAATTATTAGGTAAATATTTAGCAAAATCTATTTTAAAATTTAATTATATAAATTTTTTAATATTCATAAAATTTTTTTATAGAATCATTCGGTCAGAATTATCCAGAGGTAAGATATTTTTAGAAATATAATATATTTACATTTGTTAATTCTGAATCTTACAGATAATATTTTATAATCATTAGGAGTTTGATGGTACATTAGATTGTATATCATTAGCAGTTACTTGTACATTTAATAAAAGAGGAACTCTTCTTGCTGTTGGATGTAATGATGGTAGAATCGTTATTTGGGATTTTTTAACTCGTGGTGTTGCTAAAATCATTAGTGCACATGTACATCCTGTATGTTCATTGAGGTAAATGATTTGAAAGAATTTATTATTAATAAAATATTTTATTTATTTCATCATTGTTTTTTATTAATTAGTTGGTCTAGAAATGGACACAAATTATTAAGTGCATCTACAGATAATAATGTTTGCATATGGGATGTCTTATCTGGAGAATGTGACCAAAAATATAGATTTCCATCTCCCATATTAAAAGTTCAATTTCATCCAAGAAATCTTAATAAATTTTTAGTATGTCCAATGAGACATGCAGCAGTAATGGTTGATGTTGAGGGTACACATAGAGTTATACCTCTGGATGATGATGTATGCAATAAATTTAATGTTATTGTTTTGTATTTTTTATTATAATTTATTTTTTAATATAAATTTTTTACTTTTAATGATCTTTTTAGAGTGATTTGAATATAGTGGCATCTTTTGATCGTCGAGGAGATTATGTTTACACTGGAAATGCTCGTGGCAGAATTTTAGTTCTTGATGCAGAATCATTAATTGTGAAAGCTTCTTATAAAATATCACAAGGCACAGCTAGTAATACAGCAGTAAAAAGTATTGAATTTGCTAGACGTGGTTCTTGTTTCCTAGTAAATACATCAGATAGAGTAATTCGTGTATATGATAGTACTGAAGTATTAGCTTGTGGAAAAGATGGTGAACCTGAACCAATACAAAAATTGCAAGATTTAGTAAATAAAACTATGTGGAAAAAATGCTGTTTTTCTGGAGATGGAGAATATGTTTGTGCTGGATCTGCAAGGCAGCATGCTTTATATGTATGGGAAAAAAGTATTGGGAATTTAGTAAAAATTTTACATGGTACTAAGGGAGAATTATTACTTGATGTTGTTGTAAGTTATTTTGATTTTTAATAAAATAATTTGTTTTAATTTTTTATATTTATAATATTTTAATAAATAAGATATGATATTATTACAAAAATTTGTAATGATACAGTGGCATCCAGTAAGGCCAATTATTGCATCTATATCATCTGGTGTTGTTTCTATTTGGGCACAAAATCAAGTTGAAAATTGGTCTGCATTTGCTCCAGATTTTAAGGAATTGGATGAAAATGTTGAATATGAAGAAAGAGAAAGTGAATTTGATTTGAGTGATGAAGATAAATCAGTAGTACAAGGTGAAGAAGCACAAGATGAGGAGATAGAAGTAGATGTTGCATCTATAGATAGAGTGGCAGCTTTTTGCAGTTCTGATGAAGAAATGGAAGATATTGGTTCATTACAATTTTTACCAATATCACCAGATGTAGAAGATTCAGAAGATAATCAAACAACAATGCATGAACCACCTATGAAGAAACATCGCTCTCATGACATTCACTTGCAAGGTGCACCAGTAGATGGTAATATATTATTATAATTGATAATGAATTTATTCAATTTTTCAACAATATTTTTATTTTTAGAAACTCATCCATTATTAAATAAAGGAAAAGATAAACCAACAACTAAAAAAGGAAGACCAAGATTAGAACATAGGAAAGGAAAATAATTTAGAATATTTTTTTGTTTTCTTTAATATAAAAAAATATTTTATAATGTATAATATAATTAAAAGTACTTTAAATATATTATCAAATATGATAATATTTTATAGACATAACATGCTATAAAATGTATTACTTCCTATGGAATGGATCTTATGTATTGTTTAATCTTATGTGTTTTTATATTGAAAACTTATTGGATTAAATATTAAAATAAATTTTCAATTTTATGAGTATCTATATATTAAATATAAATTTGAATTTAATATAAATGGTTTTCTGATTTATTTATTATGTATTTATCATGTAAATTATTTCATTAGATTTTACTATGATTTTATTATTTAGAATAATTGTTATTGATATTTTACACTCGCTCTAATAATAGCAATACTACCAATATTCCTAAAAGTATAAGTTGAAATGCATTTAACCTGTATTTTATTATCGAATTATTTTAAGAGAAAATTAATTGATCGATAAATATTTTATCTTATCTTATGTAGCAATTTCTGAAAGCGCAATCAAAATTGCGCAGTATTTATATTAACTTGCAACTTTAAGTATATTAAATTTCGTTTGCAATGTTAATTTCGAGGTTATTGGCACAAGTTCATAAGAAATTATTTCATGTTCAGAACAAAACAAAAAGAGGTGTACAATCTGTTAAAGATATAATCTTGAGTATCGGAATTATTATTATTAGTGGATTTCTTATTATTTGGTTATCCGTGTTTCTTTATACAGCATTTTATTATGCCTATGTACCAAGCATTTCATACGTACGACCAGTACATTTGCAATTTAAGTAAGTTTCATTTTTCACTTGTACATATTGGTCTCTATCTTTTTTTATATATTATATACACATATATTTTAAGTATAAAGTTTGATTATATATTTTTTTTATGTTATAGATCATGTAATGAACAAAAAGGAATTTGTAGTTTCCCATATGCATATGTGCAGTTAACAAATAAACAACAACTTTTAATGGTCGGTCAGCCATATAAAGTTAATTTGCATTTAGAAATGCCAGAATCACCAGCCAATAAAGAACTTGGTAATTTCTGAGTCTTTTGCAATCAAAATATAAAATAATATTTAACAATAAAAATCATTTTTAGGTATGTTCATGGTTTGTGCTCAATTACGCAGCAGAGATGGTTTCCTTGTAGAACATTCATGTAGATCTACCATGTTACATTATCGTAGTACTTTATTACATGCACTTACAACATTTACATTTTCACCTATGATGATTTTTGGCACTACAGAAGAAAAACAAAATATAGTTCTTGAATTATTTGATAATTTTGAAGAAGACCAAAGTCATCCAGTTACAATCATTTATATTGAAATACAATCAAGACATATTGAATTCTATTCTGCAAGCATTATGATAAATGCTCATTTATCGGGTCTACGTTATTTAATGTTTCATTGGCCAATTTTATCTGCTATTCTTGGTGTTAGTACAAATTTGTTTTTCATAGCAATTGTATGTACTTTTTCCTATTTTCATTTTACAATTTATGATGATTCTGGAGATGATGGTTTCAATTACGAAGAAGATAAAAATGAAGAAGAAAAACAGGAATATAAGAAAGAATTGAACATAGAAGAAAAGGAAAAACATAAAGCTACAAATGATCGTAAGTTATAATAGTTATAATGAGTAATATTTCTTTCAATGAAATTAATATATAAAATTATCATTAAATTAATTTATTTTTTAAAGATTCATCAGACTCATCATCATCAGAAGATCCTTTTATATTGCCACATCTTATAAAGTCTGAAGAAGAATCTCATTCTTCTCACATTGAATTAATAAAAAATTAATTTATATATTTCATAATATGAAATACTTTAGAATTAATAACATGTACAAATGTAGAATATTAGAATATTATATGAATGTGAGTAAATATATATTATAAACATATTTATTTTTCTATATTTAAATACTTTATTAATTTTTTTTTATTCTTTTGATATAATACAAATTATATTAAATTATATATGGAAATACCTGTAATAAAATACTCACATACAAATCTTTTTCTTTTTTTTTTGAGAATTATGAATTTTTTCGTATATTATTTTTTTGCCATTTTATATATCATAACATTGAGTATGTTATGTTTTTATTTTAATTGGTATTGTTTTAAATCTTAAATATTACTTACAATAAAAAGAAAAATTGTAAAAACATATATTATTTAATTTCACATAAAATTACAATAAATGAATTATAAATATTTTTATTGTGAGTATTTTTATTAGAAATCACATTTGAAATGCATTAATATAATTAATTATATAATTAACATTTACCTTACATCTTCTCTTCATTTACATCTTTAATAACTTATAATAACTAATAATAACTAGAATTTTATTAAAATATGAAATTTGTAAGAATCGATTATCTCATAAAAAATAAGTGTTTCTTTTTATTATGAATATATATGACATATGTTATTCTGTATTTCGTATGACAATATAATAAATAACATTTAAATTAATTATAAATAATTTAAATTTGTATTTTAAATTTGTAATTCAATTTATAATTTAAAAATTAGCAAATTTATTATATAATTTTTTATTTGAAATAAATGAAGAATATTCTTTTACTTATTTTAAATTTAAAACCGTTTCGCGATTTAGCTTAGTAGCGCCATCTTTCAAAGAAAAATTATAACCACTTTAAAGTTACGTTTTCATGTTTTGAGATCAGTTCAGTGTACATAAATTTCTTTGTTTTACTTGAAAATTACATAATTTATGTAAATAATAATAAAAAAAATATAATAAAGGTTCGTATAATATTACTTTAATTTAATAAAAACTTATTTTCTTTATAAGCAAAATTAGAAGTTATTAATATTAATATAATTAATATAATTAATATTAACATGTTATAAGAATATTA